AGCTAAGATCTCAGTTAATTTAAATGCTAAACCTGGAAAACCAGCCTTAAAAACCTTAGGGATGAGTCCATCGAGCCCTGCTGCCCTCCATCGCTGTAGTTTCCTTACAGCATTTTCAGCCTCACTGAGAGTTGGAGGACTTACATGAATCCATCAATCATGTAGTTTGGAGACAGCGAATAACTGAAGTTTCGAACTCAAAAACTGAGTATGTATCACACTGCCGTGCATGGGTGACTTAGATGGTCTTATTTTAAAAAGACTGAAAATAGAAATGATTATGATATTTTTCACAGTCCAACTATTCACTATCGTCAACGTTTATTTTTCACCGAAACTAAAACAGCATATTAACGATTGTTTAAAATCCGATTGAGTCTATCAATTTAAATATATATGCGGAAAGATATATTTAAGTAGAAGTGATCGTGATCTCCAAGTAGTGGTAGCTGAACATATATCTAAATGGCTATAAATAAGTGAATGTCATTGATCCAATAAGATCGCAGGATAGACAGTTATTTCCCTCCATTGTGAATACATATGGTTTTGAACGTATATAGGTTTGGTATCAAGTTAGACATTTTCCGTGAATGGTGTCTTGACAAGTATGTGATCAGGTTTTTCGAATTGTATTGCGTGAATATAGCATGTGATTCTCATCAAAATTTATCAAAGAGACTAATTATTTTATACTTCTAAATGATATATAGAAGAAATTAATATTGTTCTGATTGGGTTAATAAAACAATAAGTGTGTGCTAAACTACTTATATTGTCCGTGTGAGATATTTTGCTTTTTAATATATGAAATCGTATTTCGAATTTTCAGTTCTTATTGTTTATAAGAAATCTACATTAATTCACTCATCATGCACTTGGATATGAGCCACATTCAAAGTATGAAGGTCAATAATATTCTCATTGTCTAAACCGTAATATAGATGAGGCGGAATTTTGAACCAGGGAGTTAGAGTTTGGAAGTCTGACTCCTTAATTACTATTTGTAAGCATTTCATAGAAATTCACAGGTCGCCTACAATGATGTTGAAACATTTGTGCACAAATTGTCCATTCTAACAGGTATAGCAAATGTCTTTCACAATATATAACTTTTTGACTTGAAAATATCGGTTTTATTAATAAACAATCTATTCTTTTGCAATATATTTGTACGTATCTGTATGTGTCTACTACATGTTTCTTATTAGATGCCATTTGTTTTATCTTACCGGAGCATCGTAAACGTTATGCTGAATTGTGTCATAATTTGACGGGGTTACCAATTGTTCAATCAAAATCAATCAAAAAGTCTGTAGATACTTCAAATCAAGGTATGTAATCGATTAAAATAAGCTCATATACGTTGTACTCAGATTATTCTTTCACTGTTTTGCAAAAAAAAACCACCCGAAAATTCGGTTTTTTCATCATCAGTCATTGAATTATGGATGTTGCATTCTACCATATGAATTTCTAGCGCTGTTTTTCGATTTTTCTCATGGAGTAAAACCAAGAAATGTTCTAGTGGTAAACGAAATTTGCACAGTCATCAAAAGCATGTCTGGTATTTCCTGTTTATTCTTTTGGGGTGATATCAGAATGCTAATGATAATCATTATAGTTTTTAATATCCCCCTCAGTACTACTCTATAGTTGTGCAACGTCAATATTTCTTTGTAGAAATAACTAAAGACATTCCACTAAAAATTATTTCCGAAGTAATACCCCAATACAATGGGATCACTAAACGATTTGCTTCAAATTCCAGATATAAATGAGTAATCCGGTTGTTGAGATACTAAACTCACATCAAGTAAAGCGCTTTATTCATTTTTTTTTGTTACGTACACCCAAGTTAAAGAATATTCTTTGTCCATAGACTACTACAAAACTTAAGCACGAAGAAATGTAGAGACTATATTTAATCTGTAATTAGTAAGAATCTTTGCGTCAATAATAAGATAGATTTCAGCAAAATATGTTTGACTTCTTTTAAGTATTGTACTCCATATTTTTCCAAGTGTCTCGTAGCCTAGCAATTAATTCAAATCAACCAATGAAACTAGAGAATATACCTGAAGTCTCAATGAAATGTTGCAAATGCTCAGCTGATCCGGCACAAGTTCCAGTGATATCATGCTGTAAGCACATAGCTTGTTTTAAATGTTGGCGACATATCATCGACAAAGTAAGTACGATTTATTATATTTAAGTAATTTAGAATCGGAAACAATATTTCTCGCTTATAAATGTTGTTCTAAATCACAATATGAGGAGTTTTCATACTTAAGTGAAGCCTATTAATCATGTTTACTGTGTTAGTACAAGTAGAACTCCTAGATATATTGCATTATATATATACTGAGATTGACGTTTATTTCTAACTCCATTCTTAATTCGTGCTATTTGTTAGATTACCTATTAGTTCACTGTTTTCTTCCAAACAAGCGTATTAACACCCATCTTGTTTTGAATTTTAGGGTGATCATCAATGTCCTGTATGTAGAAAATTACTGAGACGACGTGACTTATCACGTTTGATACAAAAAACGGATACGGAACAAAATCTTTAAATTTTATTATTCAAAAAACTGTGAATCCATAAGCTAAGGAATTGTGTTCATTATTCTTATTTTTATACGAGAATAAAATAGATCGCCCCTATACAATGTTTCTTAATATCAATGACAATTTTTTCTTGATTTTGTCTTTTGCTCTTGATATTATGATCTCGGATCACAGGCTTAGTGTATTAGAATCAGATCAAAGCTTGTATAAGTAAACATCACAGAAACCTATTCCAGTAACTCATGAAATTATTTGAGAATACGGGAAAAATGCTCTTTAAAACTAAAAGTAAATTTCGATCAAACAATGAGAAGACGGAGTAGATCTGAAAAATGTGATGTATTTGTGCTATACATTTCGAACAATCTGGTCATACATATACTTGTCAAGGCATTTTTATATGAAAATTAATAAAGGTCAAACAAATAAAAGTACAATTAAAATAACTAAGGGGAGAGAAAGAATAAGAAATTGTCGCGTTATCCTAGACCATAGAATGACTTAAGGATTACCAAGGTAAATTCACGGTTACGACGAATTGTTTTTGTACACATAAGGGGGGTTTAAATTTACGAATAGCTAAGGCTTCAATAAACTTAAGAATTCGACCTTGACAATTTCTATACAACATTCTAAATGCTGTATTAATGTTAATCTTGTGCCCCGTCTCAATTATGTGTTTTGCTATCGATGAACTTGGTTTTCTACCTCCTACATTGATCGGGTCATTTGATACACACTGATTTTGAAGCCATCTGGGCACATGTTCATTGACCCTAGATTGCATTGTTCGATTACTCCTCCCTATGTATGTGTGTCCACACAAACATGTAAATTGGTAAATACAATGGGATGTGACGTAATCATTAATGCATTGTTTGGGTCTATTAGGAATCATGGCCTTAGACTTTTCAATCACAACCAACTGAGCAGCATAATACGTATTCTCAATGGCTGCTTTCAATCTCTGTCTTAAAACTATACTGTTTGATTCGCCTCTATATGGTAGATTGATGTAAACCTTTTTCTTTGGCACTGAATAAATTGGAGGTCTTAGCATTAACTGACTTTTGCACCTATTAATAAACTTGAGTGGATAACCATTAGCTATTAAAGTGTCAGTCAGTAACTTTTCGTCTTTTTCCACCATATCAGAGGTACATATTCTTCGTATCCTCTTAAAGAGGCACTTAACTAGACCTCTCTTGTATTGCAATGGACAGAAACTATGGAAATTTAAATACTGTCCCGTCAAAGTTGGTTTCCTATACACTGACCGTCTAATAGTGCCATCATCCCTTCGACTTAAAAGTATGTCTAGAAAGGCTAATTGGCCATTACTTTCTGGTTCATGTGTCATCACAATATCATTTTGAACATCATTGAGTTTATCCAGTAATCGGTAAACATCAAAATCCTAATCACATATAATTAGAATATCGTCCATATATCTTCTATATAAAGTTGTCTCACCAATGTATAGCGCAAATACATCACATTTTTCAGATCAACTCCGTCTTCTCATTATTTATAAAAGGGACTAACTGCTTTAAAAGTAAATTATAGTTCACTACATACGCTCTGAACAGTTGCAATGTGTATCGTGTCACTCTTTCGAAATGAGGGCTTTATGAAACATATGCATATTGGCGAATCAGACAACGCGACAATTCACAATCATAAAACATAACTGTCCTTGACATCCGAATAACCCTGGATTATGATTCGTAATAATCATTTACTATTGTATCCTTAGGTCATTTAGTAATCAAATACGAAAAGGGTCTAGATTGGTTGTCTTCTTACTTAACATCAGTCAATCAGCTTCCATATGATTAGACCGTTCTCTTTTAAATTCATATGATCAAACCATGTTTATCTGATGAACGCTACAGTATCACGAATTGTATATATAAGCGCTACCTTACTTTTAGCTACGGTACATAAATAAGTGGGATATCCTAATTAGATCCACAATAATTAGTCCAATTGATATACACTGCGATACAACCTAAAATATCCGCTAACTAACCACTTGATTCAAAATCTTCCAAGCAACTTTACAACGATTTTCTTTTTTGTGACCCAGTTACACAATGATGGATGAATACCTCCGAGTTTTTTTGTATAAACTGAGGAATTAATGAGCACGGAAGAAAAATGTTTTGTCCTTCTAAGTGATCTCAATTCAAAATATAATAGGAAGAAATATCTAAGTGAAATGTGTCAGATATTTTGTTGTTAACTCGTTAAAACAGAATCTCCAAGTTCATGTATAGATACGATAATGACCTTCCCGTCTCACATACATTCCCAATGAGGAGTTGTAAATACAAGATTGCACTAACCCTTCTATAATCCAGAACAGAAATTTCATCGTATTTTGTCCATTTATATACAAATATCACATAAATACGTCTAATAGGAAATCAATGTTTTTGAGATGTAGTTATTCTTGAACTTGATCGACGGTTTTTTTGACGATTGCTTGGGGACTGACTTAAGGCTGAGTAGTTAGATTTGCTTGTTTTTGGTTTAACAACTTTCTCATTTTTCTCACCATTATTAACGGTTCCCAATTGTTCAGTAACATCCGGAAACAGACTTGTTTTGACAGAGGTTGAAGATATCTTGACGTTAAAAACAGAATAATATATACACTGGACAGAAATTTAAATTTAATAGATTTTATTTTTATTTATTTGAACACATAAATCTTAGTACAACGGGGCACCGAATACATATGCGGCACACAAATCACTTGATTTGCACTTGTGCTGTGATACTGCCCGGGTGCCCAGACCGAAGCAGGTGGTTTTCTTAGAGGACCACACCCGGAGCTTTTGACGCGAAGTTCTGATTCACAAGGCAGTGAAGCAACGTCAGGAGGTGCGATCCCATGATAGCCGGTGACCAATAATTGGTTAACACGCCATTTGTTTCTTAAAGATCCTGAAACCCATGTCCACCATTGGTTTGGAATCAGGGTTTTTCAACCCCCTAGGTGAACCTCTCGTGTCCACCAACCCGGTTAAAGCACTGGGCATTCGCTTTTCGTCCTCTCAATTTCGTAAACAACACCCTCACCGCGAGAAGGCAATGAGTAGGACTTCCCTGGCAGGGGCTATATACGTGTGGCCATGTGGGAGCATTTCTGGAGGGAGAACTGACTCTCCTCACCCTCGGCCGTACAAGGGCATTTGGAGGCTTAATAGATTAGTGGATATGCTCCAAGGAATTTGTAACAAAGTTCAATGAATAACGTTAGTGGGATCCAACAACCAAGTACACATTTGTGTAGTTTCGAGCCAAATTTCTCATGTAATGTATAAGTGCGATACGGACGTTTGGAGAGGTAGGAAAAGAGAAGGTTGAGGTTGGAAATCGAGTGCACGACCAACTAAACCAAGTCTTCAGTTAACCAGCATGGGTTTATCCGAATTTAGTTTCAAGCGTACTGACAGCCCTAATGAGAATTATATGTTTATAAAGGCGCCTTACAACTTATTGAAGCCCATCATTCTAATCCGGATGACCGTGCGCTTGATCACAAATGACGACTGTTACGCAATGAAATTGAGCAAAGCTTGCGCAACAACCCAGAACCCTAGTGGTAGGAGCCAATAGTTGGAAGCAACAGCTGTATCTGGTAACTGCTAGGAGCTCTTCCGACTCATCCAAGCTACAGACAGCAAGAAGTCTGGTGTGAGCGAAACAATCTGTGACGATGACAAGATGCCAGTCATTAACATCTAACGACTTCTTTGACGGGAAGTTCAACTGGTTTCCTGGCACATCGACATCAATCAGACGGTACTGCCCCCCATGGTCTGTGACGACTGACTCACCCAATGACGCGGAAGTCCGCAAAGAACTCCAACTATTGAAGCGCCATGAATCAACACACCAAAACGACTTACCGCTGGCCCATTTTAAAAATGGTGGTGGTTCAAGGGACTGACTGAGTTATTTACAAAGGTCTGGCAGCTAGAGAGTTTCGCAACGTCGATGGATGATTCGATAGTTGTTACTATACTCAAAAAGAGTTAACGTCGTTTTTACAACAACTATCTTGGGATAAGTCTACTTCTGATTGCGTCTAAATTATTGGCTTTCATCATACTTCGAACACTCTTCAAAACTCGAGAGAGGTTGACTCGCGAGGAGCAGACTGATTTCCGTTCTGATCGACGTATTGATCATATCTTCACCGTCCGCCAAATGTTAGAACACCGTTATACTTATCACAGGCCAACAATCGTATTGTTTCTTGACATCAGGGCTGTCTTCAATTCGTTGAACAGAACAGTTCTCTGTGATTGTCTATTGAGAACGGCGTGCCTGAGAAGTTCATTAGCATCTTGAAAGCACCATACATCGACATCTCAGACAGAGTCAGGGCATACAACCACCTCTCTCCATTGTTCCATTCGAGCAGTGGGGTTAGACAGGGTTGCCCAATCTCACCATTCCTCTTCAACCTTGCCATCGATGACATTCTGGAAACAGCTCTGATGGATGTAAGTAATGGCGGTGTGGATCTGTTGCCTGGAGAAAGATTACTCGACCTTGAGTATGCGGATGATATTGTCTTACTGTGCGATAATGCCCAAGGCATGCAATCCGCACTTTATCAGTTGACAATTAGTGTCCGTAGGTATGGTATGTGCTTTGCACATTCCAAGTGCAAATACTTTCACGAAACTGGCAGGAACCTGATCCTGCACACACACTGGGTAGTGAGCGGATAGAAATAGTCGGGAAGTTTGTGTGTCTGGGTAGCTACATAAGTGCTGATGATGGCGTGAGTGATCAGATCAATGCACGTATAGTGAAAGCCAGAGTGGCGTATGCCAATCTGGGCAACCTTTGACGCCTTCGTGATGTTAGTCTGGCTGTAAAAGGTAGGATCTACTATGCGTCGATGAGAGCAGTTTTGCCCTAAGCTTGTGAAATCTGGAATCTCCTGGTTAACGATATCATCATTGTCTCCTAAGTATTTATTTATTTATTTATTTCAACACATAGATAATGGTACAAAGAGGCACCAAATACATATCATGTGCTGACATCCAGTAGCAACACCATATTAGTAATGCACAAGTTCGGCATCCTGTGTGTGGCACAACGACGATAATTTAATTGGTGTCACTAACTTGAAATATCGACTTCGGTGGTTCGCACATGTTCTACGAATGTGGTCCTAAAGAACTCCACATCGTGCATTATTTGCCGACGCTGCAACAGGTTGGAAAAAGCGGAGAGGTGGCCAGTGTATGCATTACATCATGTTGTGAAAGTTGTACATGACTGGCTTCTGTTGGTCCTTCACGACTCCCTGGTTAAGAGTCGTAGAGGAGACTTTATCGGACATCACTCATAAGAAAAGTCAGTGGCAATCCTACTGCAACTTTTTTTTACTTTCTTCATAAAAAAAATGAACGTAACTTCTTTAAATAGAAGGATTCTTTCTGGTTGTATCCTCATTAACTGTATTGCTCTTCTCCTTATTACCATCATTATTATTATCATTTCACTCTCACGCACTAATTTATGTTTATTGTTGTTCTTCTTTTTTATTATATGCACTTAGCATTCTCTATCTCTTCAAACCTCATTGTTGTTGTGTGGCTCATATGTATTTGGTGCCCCTTTTCACACATGTCTGTGTTCAAATAAATAAATTGCAGAATAGAAATGATTGGACTTACTTCGCTTGATACAGACAAATCGTCCTCAGAATCTTTTATTTCAGGATAAATAAATTTGTCCGAATCACTTTCAGCTTCAGAAGAAATTATTTCATCTTCCCAGTCATCATTTATACTATTAAGAAACTGTTCTGCATCAGGTGACAGAGGTTCGTTGACATCAAATACACCGGCATCAGATTCTTCAACTGATTGATACAACGATTCCTGTTCATACTCTGAGTCATCTTTCATCAAAGACATTGTATCTACATCCAAATATTCATCATTCAGGATATCAAGATTTTCTTCATTGTTTTCGGAACTATATAAATTTAATGGAGCATTAGATTTTCCGGTAGGATTGCTTTCATCTAAGGAGTACAATACAAAATTAAACTATTTCATGTCACACATTATAAATAGCCACAACTAATGAAGAAAAACAATGAGAAAAGTTTTTACGCCATTTGACCTATTAAGATTACCACAGGAAGTATACGTAATAGATTTTAAGCTTGTTGCTTAGTATCCAAATAGTTCTAAAGCTGGTCATTTTATTGTTAAGGAATATCTAAACACGAAACTGAGCATTATAACGCCATTCTTTAGGAAACAGTGTACCTTATTTTTCAAATGTTATTCTCTTTAAAAGGAATAAGCAGAACGATGTCCTTTATCAAGCGAGTATGCACTAGTTATCATTCACAAAACTGTCTGATAAAATGCTTACTTCTGAAAACCTTAGGTGTTCGCGTCTAATTTTTTTTGGGAGCATTGTATTGACTAATTTTCACAACAATGACAAACTAAGGTACTAAACAATCCTTCAACTTTTCACTTTGAAATGAGAGATAAAACAAAAGTAAAACTTGACAGTTTTGAAAAAATATGATTAAAGGTCATTAACATTAGAATTCAAGCGGTGTATATTACTGTTAGTGCGTGGCGAAAGGAAAGTACTGAGTTAACCATCAACAAACAAAGTCAACAATTTACAAAATGAAGGTATGCTCACCTTAACTAATTGTATGCACATGCTTTATGTAGGTGATACAATAGTCTAACATTTAGATTATCTAGACCCATCAGATTTTGTTAACATCATCAAGAACGTTAAGTAATAAAATAATTTCTAATTGTCCATTTTACCAGAAGCATTCCGTACTTATGTAAATACGTTTTCACCGAGGAATAATAAACTAGTAGTTAGTCCCTGTCTTCTTAGATCCAACTGATGAAAAAATAAATTGTTGCGACGAACTATTTATTTATTTTTATTTCAACACATAGATATTGGTACAAAGAGGCACCAAGTACATATGCGCCACACAAATCTCATTCGATATGTGTGAGGGCCGTGATACTGCCCGGGTGCCCAGACCGAAACATTTTCGTTAATAGCAGTATATACATGAATAAGATCAAGTGTTGAACTACTTAACAAAAAAGATTTCTTAATCGGAGGTTGAAGTCTTTATTCAATATCACAGCTATCTACTTGAGTATTAGAATCTTATTAGGATTCATCTTTACTCATACAACGAAATTTCCTAATGAAGTATGGTAACGTTAACTGATGTATGCATGGATATGGTTTCAGGCTGTGTTGGACTGGCTTATTACTACACTTTACTCAGTCACCATACAGAAATTCTAAAATTTTGAGTAAAATTCCATTGTTCATTTTTGTATTGATTGTTTGAATCTTCCCATTGACGCTTAGGACTGCAATTAATTAGTCTCTTATTAGCATATTTACATCTTGTGCAGATTGCTTCGATATTGCCTTAAGTCACAAGCATTATAAGCAGAGATAGATAGAGGATAGCAGTGGAGTTCAGCAGCTAAATGGATAACGCGATAGCGTTTGAGGCGAATGGCGCTGGGTTCGGGTTCCGGAGTGAACATCAACTGTGGGTTGCACGTACATCCAGCTAGCGGGTTCCAAATAAGAAGAAATGCAAATCCTGCTGGCTACCATTCAACTCTGCTTAAAATTTCATGGTATCGCTAAACTATGTTCTTATTTGTGTAATGTATTAAGAATACGAAGATAATCAGAATTATGTGACTTACTATCACAATGCGTTTTAAACAATTCGATCATACACATATATGAAAAATAAAAGACCGATTAGACTAACCAGAGGTACTAGGAAACAGAGATAGAGGAGGAACAATACAAAACTCACCACCCTGGACAATATTTCATTATCGCCAGGGTAGGTTTAAGGTGGGAACACTGCTTTTGTAAATATAAAGGGAGTTTGGTCAAGACTTTAATAAACCTTAACATAAACTCTAATCAATTTTCGCACAAAACCAAACAGTTAGACCAACTTTATGGCACATTTCAACTGTGTCTAGTAATGAAGGACGACAAATGTCTATCATCTACTCTTATCATTTCATGTGATTTGATTTCATTCTGTAGCCTTTTTGGTACGTTTTCAGAGACCCTACTTTGGTAAATCACAATTACTACTCGTATGCATATGGTCACATGCGTAAGTAGAATGATAAATACAGTGAGATTTGATCTGATCTGTATAGGTTTTTTGTGAAGTATGAACCCTGCTTTTTAAGTGATAATGACTTTTACTACATACTGTCTCACTAAGACATGAAATGGAGTCTTTGTATTACCACAAGGCACATATATGCATCGGTCCAAGTTGCTATACCGCATAGCACAACAAGATGAACAACAAATTCATAGTAGTTGCTTCGATGGTAGTAGCCCCCGAATGCCCTGGTATGGCCGAGTGTGGCGTGGGCCCGCCCTCCCTCTCGAAATGCTCTCACACGGTAACACGTATACAGCCTCTGCCAGGGAAGTCCTACTCACTACCTTCTCGCGGCGGGGTTGTTGTTTACGAAAGTGAGAGGACGAAAAGCGAATGTCCGAGGCTTTAACCGGATCTCAAACCAATGGTGCACATGGGCTCCAGTATCCTGAGTGAACGAATGGCGTATGAACCAATCGTTGGTCACCGGCTAACATGAGACTGCATCTCCTCACGATGCTTCACTGCCTTGTGGATCAGACTTTTAGGACAAAGGCTCGTGGTGTGGCCCCCTAAGAAAACCACCTGCTTCAGTCTGGGCACCCGGGCAGTATCACAGCCCACACACACAAATATGGTGTGGCGCATATCTATTTGGTGCCCTCTTGTACCAATATTTATGTATTGAAATAAAATAAAAAATATGTAAAAGAAAGGTTGCATATAAGAATACAATATATGGAGAAAGAATTAGTTCGTAGAAAATGTATAAAGTAATTTCAATCTCACAATTAAAGGGAAGAAAAAGAGTGAATATACCGACGCCATTGTGAACGATTCTGAGCCATGTCACCTAGAGTCTAACCATTGGTTACGATAGTCGCGCGGACCCCAACCAGATAGCCTGCATCTACCAACATAGCTCAAACCAGAAGTTAGTGACTTTACGGATTGATGCCACGTCTTGCTTCAATCGTCCGTAACTTTCTCCCATCCGTCTCCAACACAAATCAGCATTGCTCGTAGTAGTAATCGGTGTTCAGGCATGCGTGACACGTGGCCAATCCATCTCAGTTGATATAGATTTACAACCTCATCAACTGATTTATGATCATTCCCCAATTACTTGCGTCTAACCTCACCATTACTCACCCGATGATCCCAACAGATACGAGCAACATTTTAAAAACATGTGCAATCAAATACTAGTAGCCTACGAGTATCCTCTACCATTATTGGCCACGTTTCTTAGCTGTAAATTAAAGCAGGACGAACTGCTGCGTAGTATACATAAACCTTAACTGATAGACGGATGATGTAAATTGGCTAAAGTGAAATGAGCCTTTTGAATCCGTGCAGAAATTTCATCAGACACCAACCTATTAGGGCTGACCAGACCTTCCAAGATAAGTGAAATTGACGACGCGTTCGACTACTTCACTGACTGTCCTTAGTTCATGTGTTGACGTAGGCCAGTCCTGAAGCAACAATTTACATTTAGAGGGGGAGAAAGGCATCCCAGAAATCTTGGCATTGTTGCTCAGTGCTACCAAAAGACTGGATTTTATTAGCGTCTTCACTAACACAGAACTACGTCATCTGCGTATTTTAAGTTTATAAGTGGACCTTCTGGTCGGAGATCAATTCCTAAAAATTAAGACGATGAGAAAGTTATTACCAGCAGTATGTCTTTGATGAAATTAAACAAAAACAAAGATGGTGGACAGCCTTGCCGGACATCACTTAAGGATGCAAAATCCGATGAAATTCGGTCACAGGCAATGTTCGAGTACAGAGTCCTCACACGGTTTATGTAATTTTGAGGTACTGAGAGCTTATAATAATGCCATCTTTTTCCGAGATTGTCTCACACTTGACTTCTTAATTCTGGTTTCTTTTATCAGTCTGAAAAACTATCTTGTGTTAACTACAGTCGCTGCCTTTTCCATGTATTTTGCTTTTGTTGCCCACCATTGCTTACGATCGTCCCGTCGACTTTTGGTTAACCTAGATCTGACATATTTTCGCTTGCCATCATGTTCGGCACCTGATAGAAAGTGCAAGACTATTAGTCTTACCTCTGAATGGTAGAGTGATGTGAAAGGGTCTATTTGGTGCTAGAAGTTTAATACGTTTCCCCATACTGTGACTTTTCCGTCAATTTAAGAAAATAAGAGGATTCGTCTTTTTCACTGATGTCCTCAATAGTATAATTTATGTAAGGATGAATGGTCCAAATAAACAGACCCTTCATTTGCATTAAACTATGCAATAATTCACTATTGTATAAAGAAATCTAGCACCGATACAACGTCTAAAGTCTCATCACTTTAGTACTTACCATCAATGTATACAAACTTTGTTTTAGGTAGAACCGGATAATAAAATCTACGAGGGAAGTGACTAATAAGCTTTTGAACATTTGACCAATTTTCCATAGCACTACCACGGTTAGCAGCTTTTAAAAACATATTCCCCATCCCATACATTTCGTAGTAATATGAACACAAATTCTTTAAAACCTTCTGAATTTCTGGTGTTTGCATAGAAGTTGAATGGTGTTGTAGACAATAATCTAACCAAACAAGCACTTGTTGAACAACATGTGGATGATGATTTCCAGATACAACGAAGTTTGTTAAAACTTCGATAAATCTAAATAAATGAATGTGACTTTGTACAAGCTTTTCAACTTGAGTTTTGATCCATTCCTGACTTGTTTTCTGTACAAAAAGCTAGATTTTAATAAACAACTAGGTTAGATAAAATAATATTTAAAATCATACTTTATTGAAATTTTTAGAGCTGACAAGGAGTCCATCCAGGTCATTTAAAAAATCAGTACGCTTTTGTATCTACAATGGAAAATAACCCTAAAAAACTTTCTACAAACCTTTGGCTTCGATTCCAACTGTACATCTTTTTGTCGCTTCATCTAGAAAAAGTCATTGACAAAGATCATATTAGGGTTAAAATGTAATTAAATATGTAGTCATTTAAAAGTTTTGTTTCATTTTTTTTTAATTGTAAGTACAAGTGTATCAAGTAATTAGTCCCTTAGATAAATTTCAATAATGTAATAAGACGAAGATTATCAGAACTATGTGATATATTAGCGCAATACATTTCGAACAATCTGATCACACATATACTTGTCAAGTGTACAATGTTTTAATACAACATTCTATAAATACTGAATAACAACATAGAAGGAAAAGACACCTGAATTATTAGTTCTGTAAATGAAAATGAGACGTTTAAAAATCTAACGTAGAAAAGTTCATTCTAAGAGTGGTATGTCGATACACAACATATGAAATATGAACTAAGCTATCTAGCAGATAAATATCCATATTTACCCATTCGATTCAGTCAATTAGTTGCTTCATGTTTCTGGTGAAGAGTTTATAATCTTTAAGTAAAACATCCATATTAAACGAGATCCTACCGACAATGTATAATAGGTGTCATGGCTACTGTGAACAACCCTTTCAGCCTCGTCTCTGCAAACAACATTTATGAAAATTAGATGATTACTTGCAACTTCAAAACCAACGACTATCTCTCACAGGTTTGCAACTAAACTGCCTACGTGAACTGAATCTTGTTAGTAGCAAAATAGGGGTAAATGATGATGTGTAATGAATGGGTCAAGTAGGATTATGACTTGAGCAGTGTAATCACTCTTCATAATGTAACCCAGGAATGACTGGGTGAACATGAACTTGGTAGAGAAGTTACACCACTTATTTAGACATTTTGTGAAGGCAATATTTTATACAGACATGAGCAAGGCAAGACCTGGGAAAGTGTAAATTAGTCAAATATGTTACCTAGAAACTTTAATTAAACTAGGCTGAACAGAAGATTTTGTCCACAATATTCAGGAATAATCCAAGCCACAATGAAAGCAGTGTAGTAAGTACTATATACATAACTAACCTGAGCATAATGACACTTTTAAATGTTAAACCTAATAAATTACCATTGCCAAATGTTTTGAACACTTCCTACTTATTGAAAGCGGCCTTATATACTAAGCAGAAAACCGAGTATTACAAAAACAATATCGAGACAGAAACATTCACCATTTCTAATGAGACACGTTTGGAACCAGAGCCTTCCCAAGTTTCAACCTACCTCACATTCAGTGTTGATTAGTTCGTCTCTTATTCAAACTTAGCTTCCTGAAGAATGGAAAGGTATAACCGTAAAGTGTGGGATGAGACATTGTGTCTAACTGCTGAGATAATTGCCTAACTAGCATAGCAGTTATGATATTTGAAATAATTCTCGGTTACTTAGTCTTGAAGAATCACGCAATTTGCTAACTCCTGGGCAGTGCGGCATTCGGAGCCGATATTGATGTCACTAATTGATGTTGCTAATTTTGAAACGAAATTAGACAGCACCCCAAGATGTACTTATAAGTAGACTATATATTCTACCGATGTGACAGACTACAGCAAAGCACCTGGAAAATGTCTTACTTAGGGGTTATACAGATCTCCAGATTGAAATCAAAGGTACCAAACAATAGTTGGTACGACAATTTGTCTGTGGAGAAGAAAACGTTAGTCGACAACCCAGAAAGCGAACACAATGGATGGAACGCAAAAAAAGTCGCCCGCCGTTCGTGTACGACAACCTTGAATGACCGGTCATGAGGCGGTCATTCCGGTCTTCAGTCTTCAGAACTAAAGATAGTAGGTTAGTGAACCTGTGGTAATCCTGAAAGATTGCATTCCAGTGAAGGTCCAGCATCTCCTTAAAAAAACTCACTGATTAGGCCGATACCACTTGTTCGTTCAAGGCGTTCCAGTCATTGATTACTCGACGAGAAAAACGGGACCCCAATTTAAGTTTATTAGATCGGGGTTTATGAACCTTCTTTATATGACTTCAGAGACTATTGGTGTTGGAGAGAGCAAAAAGACAATACATATTAACACCCAAATCATAATTAAAGATACGAAGTGCCAATATTAGGTCACCTCGCGTCATACGATAAGACAAAGCGTTTTAAGCGCTCATCGTAAAAGGGTTTGGAAAGACCCTTTGCTACTTTTGTTCCTACACTCTAGATACCTCAAATGAGTTTGTATTTTTATCACACATGGGCTAGCTGTTTGAATACAGTACACTACGTGTGGTCTTATATAGGTGGGATACAAAATTTTAAACATTTCCTCGTCAAAGCATTCGGATGCTCGGCGAAGTAACTATTACGCGCGAAAACCGTTGATAGCAGCTTTGTTGCAATGCATAGTTGTTTTCAAGCCATGATTTATTATTACTCCTGAGTCTTCATGTTCTTGAACGCATGGAAGAGTATAATTGTGACTATTACCGTGTCCGATGTGCATGAGCGCACTCTTCCTAGAATTAACTTCTAAGCCCCAACCTCAAGCCCATCTAACTAAATCACCTAAGCCAGCTTGGAGATTCAAATGGTCAGCCTCACTTATTATAGTTCTCCAGAATTTGACATCATACGAAAACAATGAAGTTGACGACTTAAGCAACATCAGTAATTCATTGACGTAGAGAAGGAAAAGAAAAAGGCCTAAGATGGTGCTTCAGTGTACATCACTTTTGACCGGATTCCAATCGGATGGTGTTCTATTGACCCTCACTCTCTGTCTGCGGTCATAGAAGAAGTTTCCTATCCACTCCTGTACAGCATATATTATTCCGAAGCTCGAGAGCTTCTGCATAAGACCTACGTTTGAAACCTTGTCAAATGCTTTACTAAAATCTGTGAATATCATATCGATCTGACTCAGCTAGTAAATCTGAATTTTCATGTAACAGTAGTGAAGGAGTACCATCATTACATTTTATTCACCGTTTAACATACGAAAACAATATTTTCGGACAAGTATGGCCGCCATTTGCCAACTGTCGTTCGTAAGTAGTACGGGATTTAGCTATGGTTTTTTTGTACATATTCCAGAGTTGTTGATATTCATATTTAAATGATGCATGTCCTGGTGACATGTATAAGTCCCAGAAGTGTTTCCTACGCTTCAGTAGCTTCCGCGTTTCCTTATTAATCGATGGTGGGCAATATAAAAGCTTAAGTATTGACTATGGGGTATGATAATTGTTATTCATAAACATCTTACGGGTACATAAGTACTGTGAAGGAACCATTTCGGATTTCTTCAATAATGCAATAATACACAAGTTTCAATAATGTTATCAGTACATTTCAAAAAGAGAGTAATAATAATAGAATGATAATAATAAATCAGGTTCAATGCAATTGAGAAGAATATTGAATTGAGTTTAAAGAAGGAAAGAGAGAAAATAAGGCAATAGAAATAAAGGAGATTTGAAATGCACAGGTAGTTTAATAGGCATGTTTATGAACACAGAACAAGAATAAACGACTATGTATGTATCGTCAAATTAGTGACAAAAATAAAACAGAAAATAATTGAGAAGAAATAACTTATTATTGTAGTAAGATATGACGCCAGAATAAACGTTTGTACAGCCATAATTTGGAGTGATGCTATGAAAGTCTCAACTAAGTGAAAGGGATAATGAAATATCAATTTGTATGAGTCATATATGCATAGTAAAGATAAAACAAGTTTGAGAAGTTAATTTAAGTGTAACACAAGTAAACGGGTATGATGTGAACTCGAATGTGGCCGTAAAATTATTCTTTTCGTCTTCGATCGATCCATACATTTTGACCGACCAGCCAGTCGACATAGCACAGTCTCTGCTTGCCCCAATATTAGCTCGCCAGATATTGGAACGGGGTGGAGCAGATACAAATGGTATACCATGTGCCCTAAATTTAAAGTGAAGTACAACGTGATCACTGTTCACTAGTAGGGAAATTGCTGAATGTCGACCTCATCCTCAAAGTGGTGTGTGAGGATAAGGTACAATAATAATGTGTCAACATGTGTCGGTTTTGCGATATTTTGTACAAGTGCACACTAAACAAAGGTTGATTGAAGGTCGCTGTCGAAACCACCATATGGAGCTGTAAGCTCTATCCAGTCGACATGCGGTGCGTTGAAGTCTCCAATGACAATACAACATTCCGCCTTACAGATCTGTCTAAAGATAAAGTCGTCAGCAAGACAATACGGACTACGATATATTCCTTCTGTAGCCACTAACCCGTTTCTGGACTTAATTGTGCAACAAGCTACCACACATGTACCACTAAAATGCGCCTAATATTTAACTGATTGTATACGAAATTAATCATCAACGTATAAAATTATGCCTCATCTTATGAGACTTAAAAGCTTATTAGTTCTAATACAGATGCAAACTGCAATGGTGATAGAACAGTCCAAATATACGGTGAGCCAAGTTTATGTGACGACAATTATATTAGAATTAATTTATCCACCGTCAAAATTATCTCGGACTTTTTATTTCGAAGATAACGGGCGTTCGTGTAGCACATTTTTAAAGTGCTTTAGAAATCATTCGTTCTACCCAAACAGGTGTCGGAAGCATTATCCACCAATACCTCACTACCAGAAGACCCTTAATCGTAAGGTATCAACTGACTTTGCGAATAAGTTACGTAATGTATGTATAACTTTGAAGGAAATGGGATACATGTCCAATGTTAATTCTACGGCTAATTAGGAGATAATAGTTTCATGCCTATCACTATAATTACAGAATAAGTGGGTGGAAGTCACTGATAAGATCACGATGCACGGGAAGGAGCCGAGCTTTGAAGAATTTGTGATTTTTGTAGAAGAGAGGGCCAGAATTGCCCGAACCCGTTATGGCAGATTAGTACAGTGTAACTCAAAGTTCGGGAAAAGGAATTCTAAAGGCCAAGCTGATAGGAGATCACGCTTCCATGCAATTAGACGAAACCCAAATAACTCAGTCAAGATATTACGTTGTGAAATCTGCTTAGGTGATCATGAGGCGACAGATTGT